TATATACATTAATGCTATTAGAGATTCAAACGAATCATACATTAGAAAGAAATAAGAACACCTATATAAAATAAGTTTCACTTGGCTCAAAAACCTGGAGTATCTTAAGTTGTTAGTACGACAGAAAAAAAAATACCATAAACATACTCTAATGGGATGTACGATAAAAATATTCAGATACAACTGGTCTGGTGTTAGTTTTATCGATAAAATACACTTTTTTTATTACTTGGTTGTAACTGGTACTTAATACATAATGTTCCTTTTTTTATTATTAACAATCAGGTATTTTAGTTGGCCATAAAGCTTTTTTAAATGAAAGAAAAAGAGATATCAATTTGATTTGCAAGAACTCAATTGGTAAGCAGTTTACATTTTAAATATATGAAGTTTTGTGACCTAAAAAAAATTGTAACGTGGTACTAATTCAGTATCTAGAAAAAAATAGAGTTCCAATGACAATGTGGAATTAATATTTAGTTTATATATACTCATTCTTGAAGCCTTTAAAACTTGAAAATATACATAAGTAAACATAATGACAACTAGCCATTTTATTAAAAATACAATTTTAGGTGGAGTCTCGATCAAATAGAGTTCGACTTTAAGTATATATGATACCCCTAATTACTACTAACAATAACAAAGTTAGCAATGAAACCTTGAATATAATTTTTCTCATTTTGAGTATACCATTCAGTTGCGCTTTTGGCTGTTTTTTATACATTACAAAGCATAGAATTAAACTCAGATTATCACATTATTCTAATAACTGGATGTTCGGTCAAAAACGGTAAAAGAATATGAAATTCCGTATGTTATATTTAAAACCTTATTAGATGTGAACATGTAGAACCTTTTTTAAAAAGCAGAAACTGAATGAACTAAAGTAAATGGGATTAAGGTAATACGAAATTAAAGATCCGAGATCAAGTATAAAAAACTATATCGACAAAGTAAATAAATAAACAGTGAGCATCTTATTGAAATATTAGGTCGATGGAAATAAAAATCCCTTTGTTTAAGATATTCAATATAAATTAAATGAACCGAATAACTCATAGATATGATTACTAGATGTAAAAAACGAAGATTCTAGAGGTTCTATGGTTAGTGATATGTGGCCAATTATAGTTTACGACTATGCAACACAAGTTGAAAAGTATCACAAATTATAATTCGTTAATGTAATATACAGAATCTGATAAACAGTAATATCCTAGTACTATTTTTAGTTGATCGTCACATATTCCTATCTTATAAAAATCAAACGATCTGATAATTTGAAAGATACTTTTTCACTTTTTTTCACTTTTTCACTTTTTTCACTTTTGCTTCATTTTAAAAATGGAAACACAAGAAAAAAAGATTGAATCTACACTCTCCTTTGAAACCCAAGAGGATTTAAACGACACTAAAGAAGTACCTTATGGTATCAGAAAAGTGGTGTTGATGAAAAAATTGGCAAGCAAGTGGGACAAAATATTAGTTATTACTGGGTAATTTTATTCTTAAAACAAGTTGTTAGATACATATACTAACTAGCTTGTAATAGTATTATTCTGTTAGCTTGGGCAAAGAATTGGGAGGGAAATGTTGTCTACTCTGCTAATGTTGGAATAACAAGTTACTTCAATTCACTTAATATTGCCAGTCTTATTAGTGTTGTTCTCTATATTTTGGACACAGTTCTCCTGCCTATGTACGCTAAACTATCCGATTTAATTGGTAGAACTGAAGCTTTTGTCATCGCTATTTTTTTCTATGTTCTCTCTGGAATTGTTCAAGCTGTTGCAAAGAATATGGATACGCTTGTTGTATGTACTTTAAATAAACCCTGTTTTCTTATCTATATTAGTATGACACTTACACTAATGCTTTTTTTATTATTTAGGGTGGGCAAGTTATCTATGCTCTTGGTTTAACTGGAGTTGGCGTTTTGGGACATGTGCTCATCGCAGGTATATACTATATTTATATTTTATTTTAGAAAAACTAAAATTAATATTTCCATAGATATTACTTCATCTGCAAACCGAGGGCTTTTCCAGGCATTTTACGATTTTCCTGCTATGATCAATATTTGGGTTGCTCCTATTGTTGGAGAAGCCCTAGGTAGTCCAACAAAACAAGACTGGAGATGGACATATGCAATGATTTCATTCTGTATTCTTGCTACCTCTATCCCATTATTAGTAGGTCTCTACCGTTTGGAGCGCACTGTCAAGCAATCTGGTCAACTCCAGCCCAGAAAGAAGAGTGAGCCAAAGCCTTTGATACAAAAAATCCAACACGTTTTGGTTGAAATTGATATTGTTGGAAGTTTACTTCTTGTTGGATTTCTGTGCATGATTTTGTTACCCCTTGTACTTGCAACTTCTCGTTGGGGTGGATGGAACTCGTCTAGAACCATTGGTTGTCTCGTAGCAGGTGCAATTAGTGGTATTCTTTTTGCTATATGGGAACGTAAATTCGCTACTAAGCCTCTAGTTCCATTGGGCAAGTGGGACACTCCTACACCTATTGCAGGTGTTGTTTCTTGTGCAATGATCAGTGTTATTAGTGCATCTAACTGGACTTATTTCATTACTTATTTGCAAATATCTCGTCGTATTGGTAACCAAGAATCAACCTATATTGATCGTAGCTACGATGCAGCGTTTTTGATTTCTCAAGTCGGTGCTGGATACGCGATGAAGTACTTCAAAGTATATAGACCAATTGTCTTTATTGGTATGTCACTAATGATGCTCGGTATTGGTCTTATGATTCCCTCTCGTTACCCAGACTCCTCAACTGCTTTTGTGGTAATTACTCAGGTAATTGCAGGCTTTGGATCAGGAATGATCTATGTTCCCATTCTTGTCGCCGTACAAAGCTCTGTTCCCCATCAAGGTAATCGACTCAATTGCTTTTAAATTTTAAGTTAAAATATATTAACTCCATAAGATAGATATTGCCGTAGCAACATCTCTCTTCCAAATTGGTGGATATATCGCTTCTAGTGTTGGTGGATCGATTGCTGCTGCAATTTGGAATGGAATGCTTCCTTCACAATTGGCTGCTCATGTTCCTGGTGAATATGACCTTGAATTAATTCTTGGTACCATCGATTACATCAATAAACTACCAGATGATCAACATGCCGGCGCCGTTGTTGCTTATGGAAATGTACAGCGCATTCTGGCTATTGTTGCCCTTTGTCTAATGGTGCTTGCCTATTTCTTCTTCTTATTCATGCGTCCACTTGATTTGACTGAGAATGATAGCCACGATGATACAGTTATTGATAAAGATCAAAAAAATGATGAAGGTAATTGATTCAAAGCTTTATTATATCCGTGTAAAAAATATAACCATTTTTCATATTAGAGCAAACTTCACCTTCAAAGTCTAAAATCAATTGGAAAAAAATACTCTCTTAATTTTTGGTTCATTCCATCTAACTTAAATCTGTACTCTATTAAATAATAAATAGTAATATCCCATGTTTGGGAGAATAAAGTAACATACTAATTAAAATTCACATGGCATTCTATCAGATCAGGATATAATTGTTGATTGTTGATTGTTCCTAGTATTCGAGCTATTTTGTCTTGCTTTATAGGGAAAATTTAAGCTATAGTTTTATAAACATCATTGACACTAAGTGCGAATACTAAATATGATAAAAAAATATATAATTACGTGATCTATAGAGAACATCTATGTTACAATAACGTTTACAATAGATATCTATATAGATGTAATCAATCGATTTTATGATCTGATGTATTCTTAAATAAGATTAAATCCACTTTACTAAACGAAATAATGCTCTATGAGTGTACAAAAAAAAAAACTTTTTGTGTTCCATTTAGCTCGGAATAACTGTGTAAAACTGCGATACTTGACTAATATAGAACATGGCGCGGTTTTAACGGACAATAACTTCTGTTGAATCAAAATGAATATATTTGTATGCTAAACTAAACAGAAGTAACTTAACAAAAATCAGTGAGTTGATAACTGCCATTAATGTTGATGAACTTACCATTGGTCTGCTAATATACTGTGATATTTATCACTTAATAAACTTCATCTTCACTTTCACATTTATTTTTATATCTTATTACTTAAAGCGTTGGCACAGTATTAGCTCCTTTATTTCTTTTGATTATTTCTTTTGATTATTGGCATTGAGGTGTACTCTGCCCTGTTTACCGTTGAAGGTTCATAGATATTATATTGATTCAATTCTATAATTATGTGCTATTATTATTATTATTTTTATTCTATTTATTTTATATCTTTATTTCTCTCCTCTTGTATAAAAATTCTATCCTTTATATAAGAAACCTATAGTAACAATACTTTAAATTGTTGGTGCTCACTACTACCTGCTGAACCCACATAGAACCAACCAAAAACCTAACACTAACATCATTTCGTTTATGTAAAAATCAAAGTTCAATAGAGTAACTAGCAGAAACAAAATATTAACAAGATAATGAAGTAGCATAACAAGCCCTATGCGGGGGTCGAACCCGCAGCCTTGGGATTAAAAGTCCCACGCTCTACCGATTGAGCTAACAGGGCTCTTATTGGTGGAATAAAAATTTACATTTATTTATTATAATTTTGTGGCTTATAATAGCCCGGATCGGATATAAGAAAAGCAGTGACTTTATTGGAAAACACGTGAGTTGATATATTTATCCGGGCCGGATTTAAAGCATTTCCTAATATATTGATTTTAATGCAAATGGAGTTCTAGAAGTCTAAATTGAAAAATATCCTTGCCAAATCAAAATGAAAGGATGTTATTATTTGTTTGGGTTAATCATTGTTAAATGATCAAGAAAAATGATTTTTACGTTAGACAAAATTTGATTA